CTGAAAACTCTGTACTGAATCGAATATATTTATAAACCCCCAAATACAGATTTTTTTAAGGAGGTGATAGTTGTTAGCTAGCAATGAACCTGGCTTCAGGACYCAGAGTCTGCTCCTAGCCTGCTTGAAAACTCTTCATGTGACTCAAGAGAGAGTTCTTTCACCTTTTCCTGTATTCATTCACTTGTGCAGCYGTGAACTGATGCCTGCAAAGACCCCATGCAGAGAACAAATTCTGTGTTAACATTAACTTCCCAAGACAGTGCTCAGATGTGAAGAYCTACAGGAGCCAAACAAGGCTCTTGATCACTTATTGTCAGAGTTAAAATATTCAGTCTCAATGTGTTGCCCAAAGTCTGAAAAAAGTTTCAGATGATTTGTCAAACCCTYTTCCCTCCTGCCAGAAACTGAAGCAGCAAGTGAACATGGCTTTCATCAATATGCTCCCACAGATAACAAGTTGGTCTTTGTCCTCGGAGAATAATGGTCTCCACGCCTTTATCTGAGGAGCATTTGTCCTGGCTATCCTGCAAAGAGGAATGTGGGTCAATCCCTGATCCAGAACTGTRCTGCTGTTCCTCTGCTCATGGCCAGCAGCCAGGAGCAGCTTATCAGAGCTCCACGCTGGCCCTCTGCATGCTGCCTTGCTGCTCAGTGACGATGCATTTCAGAAACTTCAGCAGTCCTGCCTCTCCCTAAAAATTCCACCCAAGCAGCAGGCAGGGATTTGCATTGTCTCTGCTACATGCTGCACAGCCTTTTTGATCCTATCCATAAAAAATGCCAAGGAAAAGATGCTTCTTTATCCTCTTGCTCACCCTGTCTTCTGTGACAATGCCCCTGCAGCCCTCCACTTCTTCCTGCTTTTTCTCCCCCTTTGTCACCCATACTGACAGGCAACTTGTTCTTTTAGCTGAAAAGCTCTTTCTCCCACTGAAACTATCAGGAACTAAGCTGTCAAGACTCCCAATTTAGATGCTGAATCCATGGTGATGTCTGTTAATTTACCTGAGCCTAAGCTTTCATGGCATGTCAGGTGGAGATGGAAGGAGGCAGATGGAACAGGGCACTTGTCATCMTTGACTAAGTCACATCCATTTTCTGAACTGCTGCTCACAGTGACACCAGCTCCCATGCTCCCCCTGAATTAGCCCAGCAAATGTGTCCACCTGATCTCCCTTCCATCAGTCATTCCTCCTCTAGCACAATGCAACTCTGCATACTTTCATTATCTGATTCCTTTCAGATTTTTGAAAAGTTCATTATTCTTCAAGATTTACTGCTCTGTGTCTTAAGGGTGCGTTCCAAACATTCCAATTCACTATCTTCCACACCATTGCCTGTGAGAGATGGGTAAATATCTGTAAACCTAATTTACAGGAGAGGAAACACAGGTATAGGACTTATGCAACCTGCCTAATTCTGTGCTATTCTGTCACAGGATCAGTCATGACAGGCAGCTCTGTGATTATGAACTGCCAAGGCTCTGTTAAAATCAATRAAGATGTGACAATTTTCCTTTGGTGAGAGTTTGTCTTTTGGTCTTTTGACTTGGTACCTGAGACCCACTGCTCTCTACCTGTGGGAGGGTCAGGATTAAAAATCATCATTTCCAACAGGAAGATGCTTTACAGTGGCTGCAGAAATGCACTGTGTTAGCAGAGTACCACAGTGAAGATTTAGCCCAGATTGTTGACCAACCCTGCAAATCTCTGCACAAGTGGTGGTTTTGCCCCTTTTGCAGGCTCTCGAGGACACAACCTACAACTTATGGCTGGGTGGTCAGTCACAGAGACCACAGGGACTTTGACTTGACTAAAAGAGGAACTACTTAAGCACCTCAGGTTTCACAATTTTGGCTGCAAAATAAGGAAGAACCACAGGAGAGTAGGAATGGTGACACTGGATACTGGCCACAGCATGTAAGAGTATGGGAACAGAGCAAGCACCATAAAACCTTCCTGCCCCTCACACCATACCCCCATCTCTCACCACCTCAGCTCAGGGCTTTTCCCCCTCAGAACTGCCCAGAGAAGACAAAGCAGAGATTGTTTCACCAGCTGATGTGGTACTTTGGCTGGCTACACATCTCTGTTATGTCCAAGGGACACAGTCCCATTTGTCACATCCATGCAGGGGAAGCCCTGGGATTGGCTCTAGTGTGTTGTCAGCACAAAAGCCATCCTGATTGCAAGAGACATCCCCAGAAAGGTTTGAAGTTCTTTGCAGTTACCAAGTCTTGTAGTGCAATTACCAACACCAAGACTCAGCTAAAGCTCAGTTCTTAGGAATAAGGGGTCTTCATTGAAAATATCCTAAAAGCAGCCAAGTGCTGGCACCTTCCACTGCTGACTACATCTTTTCAGGCTTCTCATCTCACAGCACAGAACAAGCACCTTTCTCAGTKTGAGAGACAGACACTGCTCTGCACTCTCAGAGCAACTCTAAATTACCAAGGCTCACAAACCTCCACTGAGTTCAGGACAGGAGCAAGGCACAATGCAAACTGGAGTGCTCAAAACTCTGTCCCCTCTCCCATTTATTCCTGAGCCACTAAAACATAAAAAGAACATAGGATAATCCAGGCAATGGGATGAGACCAGGCAGTGATGGATAAAGCATCGAGTGGAAAGTCAGTCCTTCAGAAGAAATAGATGGTTCAAAAGGGTCAAAGAAACTTCACTGAAAAAGAGAAGGTAAAAGTGGAAGAATAAATGACATCAGAGACTAAGTGGGACTGCATCTGTCAAAGGCTTGCAGACTGTCCAATATTTCATAGAATCACAGAATCACTGAGTTGGAAGGGACCCATGAGRATCATCAAGTCCATCTCTTGGCCTTGCACAGAACACTCCAAGAAACACACCATGTGATTTCTATATGTTTCTCTCAAAAAGCACCTCCTGTAGTGGAGTGTAGGACATGAGCTGAGGAGAGAATTTGCATCTTCCAAAAAAAAAAAAAAAAAACAACAAAAACCCCAACCTAAAATCAAATAGAAAAATAGTATTTCCTAAATGGAATTTATTTCTTCTTAAAAGAAAAAGGAACTGACTAAAGGTTTCCCATTTATAGCCATGTCAGGAAAGCAGAAATATAYGTCCAGTCAAGAACATTGGAGTTAAGTACCACACTGGCACCAGATTTGTGGAGTGCCTGTATGAGAGCAGAGCAAAGCAGGTATCCCTGGCTGCCCCTGCAAGGCTCCTGAGCACCTTCTCAGCTCACAGCCTTCTGGAACAGGAAGATCCCAGACACACTACCCTGCAGATCAAGAATAACATCTAAAACGCACATCCCTTGACACTTTTCTCCCAGGGGCCTTGAACATTTGAAGGTCATGGCAAGMCTTCTATGTCATCAGGCCTTCCACCAGATCCACATTGTTACAGTGGCAGTTGTTGGAATGTGTCAATTTTTTACAGTCTGAGAGGATCTCTCACATTCCTACCTTAAGAAAACAACCCAGGCAGAGAGTTCTGGATGAATATTCTGCATTATGGCTATCATGAGGAATGGGAACATCATGGAAAAACAAGAATTGTAAACTCTGACACAAATTATCCAAAAAACTACCAAGAAGATGTTCTGAAAAGCAGTAGTTTCCCAGCACTTCTGCTTCCATGGATCCCTCTTGTGCACAAACAACAAAAGAACTGGCATGTTTGTAACTCTAAAGTAGGGTTTCTGTAAGACTACAGACAGCTGGCAGGTTAAGAGCTGAATACTCATGGTTCATATAAATGCTATGATCTCTGTTTCCAGAAAAAGGAATGTCATATTTCCTTGATTAAATTCCTGCWATGAAAATGATTTGACCTCCCTTAAATCTGACTGCTCTAACAAGCTTTACGTGGGACTGGACATTCACATTGACACAAAACATGGCAATCCATTAGTGGGGACTGGGAAGAGGGGTTCAGCAAAGACTCGGAGCTTCTGCACTGTTATTGGAAAACACTAATAGTGGGCTATTTGCTTTAATTTCCCCTTTCCTGGGGATCCCCTGTCAGGAACAATGTATCACAGCCTATGGCACGCTGCTACAAGGATGAGGCACACTCCAGCTGCAGCACCAAAGGGAAGAAGGATCATAGGGCAGTGGCAAGGTGCTGCCTGCAAGGAAGCGTTTGGGCTTGCCCAGGTCAGTATTTTTACCTGTTGGCARCAACAGCTTCAGGGTGAAAAAAGAGATGTGTTCTACTATGAAATGGTGCTGTGATGCTTCATGGGAATTGTCATTTGAGTGCTGSCCACTCTCATGACCTGATCCCAGCTGCAAGTGTCACCATGAGGGAGAGCATCACAGAACCACAGAAAGTTAAGGGGTTGGAAAGGACCTTAAAGATCATCCAGTCCCAACCCCCCTGACATGTGCAGGGACACCTCCCACTACACCTTATCAAACCTGGCTTTTAACACTGTCAGGGTTGGGGCATCCACAACCTCCCTGGGCAACCCATTCCAGTATCTCACCAAAATTCATCTCTTTCAGTTTGTTTTCTACATTGATCCTTGTCCTACCACWACAGCTCCTGAAAGACAGTCCCTCTCTGGCTTCCCTTTGAGCCCCTTCAGATACTGGAAGGTTGCTATGCATCCTTGTCTGGGCTGAACAACCCCAGCTTACTCTGCCTGTCTTTGTAGGAACATGCTCCAGTCCTCTTATCAGCTTTGTGGCCCTCCTCTGGACTCACTTCAACAGTTCCATGTCCTTATGTTGGGACACCAGAACTGTACACAGTATTCCAGAGGGTCTCACAAAAGCAAAGGAGCTAAACAACTGATGGGGGATAAAATGCAACTACAGAACCCAGCCCACAGGGAAAAGTCAGGATTTTCAGCTTCCTTGAGACATCCAAATACTACATTAAAATCCAAGTACTTGGGGTTCTGGTGCATTCAGATTTTTTGAAGAGCTACTTAGACTTAAAAGTGTGTTTTTGGTTTCCTGAGTTGAAAGGAGTYGGAATGATTCTAATGAGAAGAAATRMAAAGTTGATYTGCTGGGCAAAAGATGTCYCTACAGAAWTGTGTTTGTCTCCTTCCATTTCGAAGACGAGCCAAGGAATGACCAAATTTTGTRGACATGGTTATAAATAAACTGGCTAAAAAAGAAGCTCCACCTGCAGTTTCCCAGTGGGCTGACTAATCCTTTCCTACTTGGATTGTCTGCACGGCTCCAGTGCTCAGGATTAACCAGCCAGTGGTGATGCACTTGCTGTGCTCTCCCTCAKGGGGGGACACATCTCACTCTGAGCATCTTTCTGCAAAATTCCTTGGGTCCCTTTACTGGGGRAGATGATTTGCAAAGGAAGGCAGCTGCAGCTAYGGAATTGGAGTTGCCTCTTGCTAGTGCTGRTATCTTTCCAAGACAGGTTGCTCTGAAGCAAGAGAGGAGAAAGAAAAAGGGAGACTTAGCATTATTTTATATCAAAGCTAAGTGTAAATACATATTGCTGAATTAACACCGTGGAGATTGGCCATATGCAATCTCTTGTTGAAGGGAAAGCATCACAAGTCCAGGCAAATCTTGGCATGTGTACCGTCATAATTTTTTAGCTATTAGCATCCRAAGAGCCAAGACAAACAAAGATCTCTGCAGTGAGTTTGCCAGGTTTTGTTCAGGTTTGGGACACAACTTTAGGAAGGACACTGTAAAGGTAAAAAGAAGGAGTAAGAATCCAGAAGCATGTGGAGGAGTAAGAATCCAGAAACATTTGGATAAGCCTCAAGCAAAGGTTACCATCTGCCATTAAAGCATTACCCTGGCCCAGCACCACCCAGAATTACAAGTAAATTGCTGCTAGAAGAATATTTATGTCAGGACCAAACTGCTAGCAGGAACAGGTAGCAAACTCCCACACAGAGATCACTGAGCTACYTGGGGTTATAAACTCACCCTTTCAAGCCAAGACTCAGACTTGCCTGTCATCAGTTTCCACATGATGTGCGTGCAGAATTTTTCCTTCTCTGTTCAATTTTTCTGGAAGAAGAGTATGACTGAAGTTGTTTGGACTGACCCATTAAATAAATATGAGCAGGACGTGGTGTGCTAGCAGAGGATCATGTGTGTTTTCATGAAGGGAACTGACTTGTGGATTTATGGATGTTGTCACAGGCATACTAATGCTGGAACACACTCTACATTTTTTTTTTCAGCCCCAAAGGGATTGCTTTAACAAAATTTGTGTTTCCTCTGGATTTTTTCCTTAACAGCTCGGTTAGAGGAAAGGAGGAAACCAATCCTTGATCTGCATGAAGATCTCCTATGTTTGGTCCCTCAGTTTGGGAGTTACCAAARGGCAGGAAAGCTGCTATGAGCTGCAATGCAGTGGGAGAATGAAAAGGTCCCTATAAGCTATTAATTTAGGTATGAAACAAAGAAAAAATYTAAAAATAGAAAACAGCTAGTTTTAAGGACATACTTGATATTTTTAATGGATCGGAGAACATGAGAGGAAGGGGAGTGGGAGAAAAATGTTGCTTCATATMATGGCTGTAATGGTCAGTAAGTGTTTCCAGGCTAGAAAATAAATTAAAGCAACATTTTCACCCACTCTGGAGTTTCTAGACTGCTTCTCCATTCATACAGCAGCAAAAATAAGCTTACTAATTTTTCCCTACAATAAGCACATACTGGGTTTGTCTACCACCCTACCTCCAACCCATCTGAGCCTTCACTAACGGAAGCYTTGTTACACCAGAAGCCTCAATGGCAGCTCTCACATACATGTACACACGTGTGCAYGTGCAACACGCATACATGTACACATATAAACTATCAAAATACTATTATAAAGCGAGTGTTCCTTCTCAACACCCCTTCTTCTGCCCACCCCACCTCCCTCCCCTTCCCCAGGCCAGCATATTTCAAAACAGACTGGAACTGAGCACTTCCAAGAGCCATCCAGCCCCGGGCCGTGCTGCAAACGTCTGGGTGCGTTGACAAGTCCCTGGGCCACCTCTAGGACTGGTCTTGACGTGTGGCCTCGAGTTCACAATACTGATTCCTTGGATTCAGGGTCTGCTGTGCTGCTTGTGTTGGAGACTGGGTTTTTGTGGGTTACCAAAGGTGACGTTTCYGCTTCAGACTTGTTGTTGGCAACTGCTTCTACGGTGACTTCTTTTAGCTCCTGCTCTTTGCCTTTATCTTTATCTTTTTCATTCAGGTAATTGAGGATGCCTGCTCCCAGGGCATCCCCTTCCACATTCACAACCGTGGTGGTTCGGTCCCTGGTGAAGATCAGAAACAAAAACCAAAGCAGCAGGCTTTTAGTTKAAGAGAGTTACAACACAATAAGGGGAGCTGGTTCACCCCTGCTGAACCACTAACATCACTGGAGCTAGACAAGGGAGATCATCACTATTTCAGAACAAAAAATGTGCCCCAGAGCAGGTTTAAGGTCAGTCAAACTGCTACTACCAGTTGGTTCTGGTATCTCTGTGGGTTGCAGCAATGGTACTGCTCTTTCTCAGGCATCCCCCTTTTCACAGCCCACCTCCTTCTTCTTCCCTTTCCCCAGACCAGCATTTTTCAAATGCAAGTTCACAGCAGGAACTTATTTTGGGCTTATCCAGAAAGTGACTCAGAGCACCCAGCTCTCTTTTTTAACTACAGGGACTCACACCTTAATCCAAGCACCTACTTAAAGGATCCTTCCAAAAGCAGACAGAATGGCTTGAGTTTTCTGCATTTGTTGCCTGTAACATCTGCCCTGATTTTTGGTCCTACAACACGAAATTATGTGCCAGGGTGTAATGGAGGAGGTTTATGGGTCRTAAAGAAGAACAATGTTTTCACTTGCTTTCTGAGATTTGCTAGTCATTCTGCACCCTAATTTTAACAGAGGCTCAACTTTTAATTGTGGWCCTCTCTGGTAATAAAACAGTTGGCATTAAAACAAGACATGGGACTACTTTCTCCCTCCTTCTCCCTTTTGTTACCACAAGGCTGAGCTCCTTGACTAGAACAGTGATGACCACAGAGGGATGCTGCATATTTTGAAATAAAGGCACTGAGCACCACACAGGCCAAGGGCAGCCCAGAAGTGAAAGGAAGGACAAGTTTTTCACTCTTGCCTCCAAGCATTTGCAAGTACAGGTGTGGAATGCACAGCTCCTACTTACTTCCTTAGAGAAACAGGATAAAAAGGGCTAGCCACTGCTTTGTCTCTGTCTCCTGTCCTTTGGAGGTGGCTGATCCCCAAAAAATTACAATAAGGAAGAGTTTGATGACCCTAAGCAAGCTGTAGGAATATGATTTTGCTCCACAGACATGTGTTGTGTGGGAAAGTAACACAGCTGCCACATTCTCTAGTCTCTGAAATTCGGGGGTGTCTTCAGGCACCCTAATTTCCACATCTGATGTGGGAATGCAGAATCCATACACAGAGGTTTCCAAAAAGCAATGCTGAGGRATTATGTGCAGTCTAAACCAGGAACTGYCCAATRACCCACCAACTGGAAACAAATTACYTCAGTGGCATTGAGATCACTTGACCCATACTGACCTCTTACTTCTTTCCCAGAAGATGGAAAGGAAAGGTGGTAATACTGTCTACTAAATTTGTGACTCCCAGCAGTGTGTTCCAGCCATGACACTGCACACAGCAGTGACAAGTGCCACAAATCCTCTGTGTCCCTGCCCTGCCAAGGGACAGCACCTCTCTGTGACACTTGAGTTGGTGCTTTGACCAGTCTTGAAACTATAAAAAGAATTCAAACAATAGCTGACAAGACCTGATAGAAACTGCTTCCCACATGTGACCAAGGAAGCTTTCCATGACTAGAAAATTTCAATTTCCTTTGTCCTCCCCTGTCCTTCTAGTGTCCAACTAATTTCCAGCAATATCAACACCTTCTGAACAGACTTTTAACAGCCCTTCTGAAGCAAATTGAAGCCAAGTAAAAACATATGTTAATAAAGGCTGAATAAAAAAAAGCTGAAGAGGAATTTTAGCATACTAACTGCTTTAACTGGGAAGGCACCACCTTTTCCATTCCCTGTCATGAGCTAGCTGTCCTRTAGGCAGACATCTTGCAGGGTCTTATTTTCTACTGGGTTTTATTCTGTACTTTGACCACGTTTCCAGCTGATCATGCTACAAGAATGCTGTAGTGAGGTGGATGTCACTCTCTTCTCCCACGTGACAGGAGTGGGAGGAAATGGCCTCAAGCTGCACTGGGGAGGTTTAGATTGRATATTACAAAAATCTTTTTCACATCAAGGGYTGTRAAGCATTTGAACAGACTGCCTAGGGAAGTGGTGAAGTCCCCTTGACACAGCTTAATGGTGAGCACCGTGATGGTGCTACRGACTGGACAATCTGAATGGTCTTTTCCAACCTTAGCAATTCTACAATTCCACGTTTCTGTGCCTTGCAACAGCAGCTGTGTGAAGCCTGCAGTACTCACACAATCCAGTCCACAGCCAGGATGAGGGACAGGTCGTTGGTGGGCAGCCCGATGGCCTCCAGGATGATGGCAATGGTGAGGACTCCTCCTGCAGGGACCCCGGCTGCTCCCACGCTGGAGGCGGTGGCCGTCACGCTGCAAATCAACATCCGTGCCTGGTTAGAGGAGCTCCCAGCTCTCCTCTGTGCACTCTGTCACGTGCTTCCCTATCATGGGAATTGTAAACAAATGCTCCAGCATGGGACAYTTGGAGCCTTTGCTTCCCAGGCAAACCCTTTCCTGCCTGCTGATGCAAAGGAAAGGCTACAGAGGGCAGGGGCTCAGCAGGGATCTGCAGCAGTTACCACGGTGATGGCTCTGGGTTCAACACCAGGACTGCCTTTTCAGGACAAAAAATAACCAACATAACTGTATCCTGCTGCCTTATGAACATTCCCAGCTCCAGTCTGCTGAGTACATACACCTCCTGACCCCACACGTATAAAGGCAAACTCTGCCATGCACCTTCTCTGTTTCTTGCATTCCAACACAGAGCTGGAAACCTGCAGTGCCATGTGCTCAACATGCCTTATTGTGTGCTACCTAAAACTTCACTTGGCTACCCTCAAAAAAAAGAGAAAAAAGCCCCATCCCTGCCTTAAATAGATCAACAACATACTGAGAAACATAATAAGGAAGGAAATAAAACCTGGCCAGAGAGGGTAAAAAAATGCCAGCAACCAGCCCTAGGAGGCATCTGGTGGATGCAGCTGTGGTTGCTGGGCACAATGAGGAGCCAGAACTTCTTGTAGGACCCTCACTTAAGGGATTTTGAGGAGGTTAATGAAGGTCATGACACTTCATAGGATATGGGATGTCACACGATATTCCAGGCATAGAGGGGAGAGTCTTAGAGAAGGAGGTGGGATTGAGGTGGTGGAGGGGAYAATGGAGCAAAGCAGCTAGGATGGGAAYGACAACACRTCTGATCAGGAAAGCCAGCAAGGTGATGATAGGAAAGTCAGAGGRAAGCAGGAACWGAGTCCTTAGTATGAAACAGATGCATAAGGAACCAAGGAGCTGGCAGAAGAATTCTCTAAGATATCCAGACGGGAAATCAGGGGCTGCTTTTTGGGCAGAGCAGCATGCCTCAATTACCCAGCTTAATGGTGACTGAAGGATGGAGGATACTTAAGGAAGGAGAGGAATTTCATGTGAGAAACAGCTTTMAACAGCTCAAAGTCTGTTTCAGAATTCAATTACCCCTCCCAGATTCTACCTTTTATTAAATCGAGACTCTGGCAAATCCTGTAAAGGTTTAAGGACTCCATCCTTTAATCACCCTATAATTATGTTACATAGCAGTTTGCAAGCTTTAGATCAGAGATGTGGAATGCAAACTGCTAGTTATTAATGGAGAGACCACAGCTTGAATGTGTCTCAGGGCAGGAAGGATGTGGTTGCAAGCAACTTACAGAATGGTGAAGATCTGCCCAGGGTTTAGGTCAACATTGTTCAGCTGAGCAATAAACACAGCTGCCATGCACTGGAAAATGGCAGCTCCATCCATGTTTACAGTGGCCCCAATGGGAAGGATAAACCTGCTGATCCTCTTGTCCACTTTGTTGTTCTCCTCAATACACTTGATCATGGATGGGAGCGTGGCTGAGCTGGAAACAGAACAGGGAGAAATCAAACACAGAGCATTGGAGTGCTCTGAATGCCCCAGCACTGCCTCATGGCTTTAATGTTCTGATGTGCTGTAGACAGGACTGCCAAGACAATGGTGCCATTTTATAGTCMCTCTCTGTCAGATGGCAATGAGGGACCCTCCTCGTTGAGCCTTGGTATTTAATAATCTGCTTTCGTCCAGACATAGCTGATAAGGACTTAAACCTCACAGAGGCAAGAACCCATGACTTAACACAGTATGCAGCATTACAAGGCTGTGGAATGATCGTCTCAAACTAGAAAAATACATTAACAGATGCAAATATAGCAGGGGGGGCTGGAATTAGATGATCTTTAAAGTTCCTTCCAACACAAACCATTCTATGATTCTATGATAATATAAACACAGCAGAACCAACAACAATCTCTGTAAATGCTGTATTAGTACTTTCTCAAATGAACAGAAAAATACTTGAAAATAAAACCTCACTCTTGGATTTATTTCTTGCATTAYAAATCACATGGTTTTATTCATAAACCCTCCCTACTACTATGCAGAATGAGAGAGTTCATGAATAGTATTTCAGCTGCTTTGACAGACATGCATCTACTTTTGGAGATGACCAAAATGACTTTATATAGACTTAATGATTTTTTTTATAGAAATGTTATTTGTTCAGGTGTGACGAGTAAGTTATTTGATTGGGTGTTTGTCCTTGGGAAAGTGTAAATGACATGCTCAATAGTTTGGTTACGACAAATAAAAGCTGATCAGGCCAGATCTTTGAAATCAATAAAGCTAAATACCTTTACACTAGGCAAGCAAGTCTGCTTTGCTCCTAAAAAATTAGTCTAAATTTGCTCCAGGTYCTTCTAAACTTAAAAAGTAAACTTATGGGGACAAAGTCCCTCATTCCTAATCCTTATTTTACTTAAAACTGAAAGGACAGCTGGCAGGATCATTTTAAGACACTTACTTTTTTTTTTCCCCCAAGGTATTTCTAACTYAGCATCATACTATGGTCCCAATATTTTGAGGAATTGTTTCCAACAGCTAATTATCAGCATGTGCTGTGTGGCAGGCTGCTGACAGCAGTGAGACTCTCTATACTCTCTTTTTGCAATCTCAGGAACAATATTCACACCTAAAACTAAAACTGGATGTAGCCAGTTAGACAAACTTAACCAGGTTTAACCCAGCAGCACAGAAACCCACCTGGAGCAAGTGGCAAAGGCAGTGGCAAATGGTGTGATAAGTCCTAAGAGAAAACGATACGGATTTTGCCGWGTGGCTGCAAAATAAATAAGTGGCAGAATGATTCCTCCATGGATGACGTGGCCCAGGATGGAGGCGAAGATGTATTTTCCCAGACTGGTCACCAGAAGGACAATATCTTCCATTTCCACAATCTTGCTCCCAACAAGGAACATAATGCCAATAGGTACATACCTGTGGAAATGAAATATTGGCAGCTGTCATTAAGTACAAAGTCTTGGAAAACATGACGTTTTCCATCCTGGAGATAACATTCTGTTAAAGAATCTGTKGCTCCCACTGAAGGGGGGTTCCTTATTCACTAGGTTAGACAAATTTTGGAAATCTTTTCTAACACTCTTGTTTGCTGGATGGTAAGCAATCAAATTTTAAAATGTCTGTTCACTTATGCCCTCAGAGACACAGCTAGGAGAGTGCCAAAGGGAAGGGAAGCAGGAAGCAGAAATGCTGCCAGAAGCCAGCAGGACAAGACACCAATGTGGAATTTTAGGGAAAGAGGGAGGGAAAGAGCAAAAATGAGCAGTATTGCATCACTGGAGTAGAGAAAGGCGTGAAAGAGTTGTGTCTTACACRTGCAGAAACTCCCAGCATGAGCACAGAGTCAGGTCATTATAATCACAGACATAMTGGGTGCCAAAAAAGTGGAGGTTAAGAAAAATCTCTGCACATACCAGAGAGCTCAGCTAAAGGCTGCTGATGCATGTGCCAAAGATAGCAATTAACTCTGCTATTTGCCTAAAATGGACTCAAAAGTTAAATGATCAGGCTTCCAGAGCTTCCCCCAAGCCAACAGCCAGGCACACACACACATATCCCTGCCTCCTATCTAGAAACATGCCACGTCAGCATTTGTTTGGAGTTTCCTTTGTCAAGAGCACCTGGAGCTGYTCCAGGGGAAGGGCCACCTGCAGGCACAGCCACACCTCTGGTCCCTCTAGGGCAGCTGGGATCAGCCCTGAAAAGATTGAACTGCACCAACAGCACAGCAGCTCTAAACAAACTGTGTGAATCACTGCAGGCCCAGGGCCAGTTCTTTCTTAAGCTCCACTGGGATGTTTGTGYCTGAGCACCTCTGCTGATGCTGCCCACACTCCATCCCTTTCTGCTTCTTAGATTAAGCAACACTAAAAGATCACCCAGCTCTCAAAAATCCTGCCCTGGGAACACATGTGACTATGAAAGATTTGCCTGTACATCTCAGGAATTAAGAATCCAATGCACATCTTCAGGGAAGCTGATTTGTGGAGTCAGGACAAACTTCAGAAGGTTTGTAAAGGTGGACAAGACTTAAGGCTGCTCAGACCACTCACTTCTTTGTGGCCTGCCTCTCCCTCAGTGGTTCTGCAGCTCCTCTGTTCTGTGCAGAGAGCACTCCCTGTGTCCCAGATCCATGTGAGCACCCTTGGCCAAATCTTCAGGGGGCCATTCCCCACTTGGCCTCTGCAATTCTGCCTTTAAATAAACTGTGTTTCTGCAGACCCTGATTGGCCAGATCCATCTGAGTCCTAGTCCTGCACAAGCTCTGCAAACATGGACACTGAATTCCTCCCCTTGAAGAGGAGGCTGGAGAGGAAAGAACTGAAAGTTGAGACCAAAGTGCTGCTAAACACGAGTGGCTGTTGAACGGGACCAGATACGAGCTCAAGCTGCCTTTGTTCCTGGTAGTATTCACCATTCCAAAGCATCCCTTGGGAAGCACAGGCAGCTTGACAGATTTTGAATAAATACCAAGACTACACAAGAGCCCTAAGGAAGGAAAGAGAACAAGTAAGGGCTACACTGTTCAGGGTCAGCAGTGGTCCCCATAATCCACAAAATAAAGGATTACATACCAACTGATTGGCTTGAAGTGCTAACACTGCAATAAGCTGAATGCAAGAACTGCCTCTTATCAGTATTCAGTGTCCAAGGAATTACACTCAAGAGCAAAAAGCTTAAGCTGCTTGGAGACYGAATTTTTCAATCCCTTATGATAGCAACTAACACAGAGATCTGSCTGTGTAAAATCAGGTGTTTTGTTAAAACCCTTCTACTTAGGGAGAAGAAAACAGAAAGAATGAAAAATGCAGAATGAGGAAAGAAAAAAATACCTCTGGTAAAGTACATTTACAGCTTTTTCACCAGCTTTGGAAAGGGAGTGAAAAATGTCCCGCTGTTAATTTGTAGCTATCCTTATGAATATTTTTAATTTTCTATGTGAGGTAGCAGCACTGTCGGTTTCACAGGAACAGCCTAGATCCATACAGCTGCACAGGGACAGCCATGACACTGCTCTGAGACCAGGTTCATCCCACCTGATGGAAAACCCAGCCAGGAGGCTGCTCCTATCCCAGCTTAGTTGGCCTGAACCACTTCCTAGAAGTGCCTGCCTCCTCCAGAGCTGGTTTCTTGCCTAGTGAGAAAGTTCAGTGCACTCCAGTTCCTAACACACAGATTTTTTTGGGTGCCGAAGCTTTGTGGGATTCATCAGAGCAACAGTCACCCCCAGGTGACTAGATTCCAGGGAAGTAAGTGAAATAATRTATTTGCTCATTAATAGGTAGAAGGAAAACAAACAATCAGCCTTAGGAAATATTGAAAGTCTTCTTTCCGTTAATTAATCAAAAAGGAGTCCTGGAGAGGATTTATAGGCAACCCTTTGAAATTTTCCAGACTGATACCTCAAGCTRTGAGTGATTGTCTCATTACAGGGCACAAGCAAGGAGAAAAGACCCCATGGTGTGACATCACAACATTCACTTTTGCTGTGATGAGGGATCTCACAGGAAAAAGCTGGACAGAGATAAAATGTGAGTTTGCTGACCTGAGGACARCACCGTAGTGCAGATGCATCTGCAGTCACACACTCACCACATAATCCAGGTAACCAAGACCATTGTTGCYTCATTGAACGAGTTAAAGAAGCGAATCAGATCTTCCCCCTCCTGGCCAAGCTTTTTCAGTGCCACTCCTAAAACCAGAGCAAACAGYACCAGCCCCAGGATGTTCATCCCTTCGATCTCAGTACCGACAGGGATCTGCAGAGATGAAAAAAGAAGGCTTGTTAGATGTGAGATCAACACAAAACCTAACAAAAGGTTCAGTAACCTCATTTTTTTGCTGCCTGATTGATCTGAAATCAACAAGCAGAACATATTTTGGAAAGGAATAACCTGTTTAGTTGAAAAGAATCAAACAGATCTGGATGCAGTTCAGACACAAACCTCCCTAGCTGGTGTGGATTCACTGGAGAAGGAAAGGGCCTGCTACTACCTCCCCTTGTGCCCTTCAATATGATMCTTGTGTTCTCAGTGACCTGAACAGGAAAACTCCCCAGTTTACTCAGGACTTTAATGCAATAATTATACCAATGAAATAACCAACATTATGAACCAGAAGGAGTGGAGAAAGGCAGCAAAGTGTGGCATCCTGCTCCTTCATCTGTCCACGTCAGCTGTCKGAGACAGAGAAGAGATACCTGATCCCCTTCTCAGAAACCATGTCACTGCATGGCAAAAGTAAGAGGATAAAAACAGGATCCACCTATTGACAAAAACTAGTCTACCCACAGGTTTGCTCTGCTAGTCCTTCATGGTTTGCTTCTCAAAGAGCTGGAGCCAGTTTGGCAATGTAGTATCATAMGAACTGAATGAGGGCTCTTGTGGCTACATAAAAATATAATTGTTTTGACAAACTGTTTTTTTTTTTTTTCTCCCCAACTTGGCAGTACAAACTCAACATGCCCAATTGTTTTATTTGGAAGAACTTCTATAATAGATGAGGTTTGTGTACAAGTTTTGGTCTTTTGGCGGATTTAGGCAGACACTATCACAACACTAGGAAAGAAAAATACATTTTGACCTAAAAGCTTGAAATTAATATTGACTAAAGAACTCAGGATACTGATCTGCTAAATCTGATAAAACCTGCCTGCTTAAGATGATGTTTTTGCTGGAAGTATACTGCTGAACTGGACTGTCTCTCAATGGCAGGTGGAAACAAAGTCCTGCAGGGAAAGGGATAAAATATAAATTATACACAAAAGCAGGAAGGGTAAACTGCTCTTAGCAGAAGTGCTGGCTTTTTTATTTGCTAGGTAAAAAAATAATTAGATATGGAATCTGGAACTTTTTTATGGTAGTTGCTTGTTCAGGGCTAAGCTGCCACTATTTATTTGATTTCTGATTGAAAGAACTGGGAACACGGACAGATATTAGATATGTGACACTGTGTTTCTCCAGAGATGTCCGAAGAAATATGCTGTTACATGCAGCAATAATCTTCTGTCTGGACAGTTTTGGCTATATTCTGGTTTTTGTGACTGAGAGCTCTAAATTCTTCTGTGGTTAGAAAAGTTAAGACAAAAAAATTACACTCTCCTATTTATAAAACAAACTGTCTGTACATGGGATGTTATTTTATAATATGTCATTTTATACTGAGTTCATTTGATACAGGGTTAATATGAAAAGTTCAGCTGGCACACAYAGTAGGCCCCAAATTTTCCTACCAAAAAAAAAGTCCTAAAATCATTGAATACTCTTGTTTTGGTTCCTATTCTGAAAAAAAAATCTGAAAAAAAACTTTGCTGTGGAACAGAAATGCAGTCTTTCAAAGCTGAAAGATCCTGGTATTCTGACCTGGATGTTGCTGGGAGAGAATGACAGTACATGGTCTTCTCTCACCCTTGGAGAGGTCTCTCTCCACCTTGCTCCCAGCACCGTGGTAACTGCTGCTGCTGCTCCAAGTGCTCACACTCACCAAGCCCTTCAAGCCCAGATTTTGTGATCTGGGGACCCCCTGACCTCTTGGTGACCAGAGGATGACCGTGTGTGCTGCTGCCAAAAACTYATGAGCTGTCTCCCTCTGTTCACTGTCATCCTGTTCCCATTTTCAGGTCTTGCTCTCCCCTTCTCTCTCTCTCTAACCAACTTCTTTCACAACACACAGCATTCACCATTGCCTTCCACCACTGCAAATGATGCATCACTTGCAGGGAGTAGTAACTTTTGAAAGATATTTCTTCCYGCAAATCAAGGAGACGATCTGCAGCATTCAGGGAATTCCACCTCGTTGCGACACAATATGGAATGAATCCAGCACTAAATCTTCAGYGGAAGATCCTCACAATCCCAGCCTCTAAAACTGGCAGATTCTGAACAGCCTTTTTGTACTCTAACAGAAGAGTGCATCACCCCAAAGGGGCTGCCAAACCAAGCAGCATTGTGGACACCAAACAAAAACAGCTTTAATGAGAACTTTGTTCCTGGACAAACTATGGGACATGTTATTGTTTGCCTGAATTTACGCATTCTTTTAGGAAGATTCGTGGAGTTCTTCTGGTCCTTGAATCTCTCTGAAGATCCCATTGTTTTTTAGCCCTTGAAACRAAATGCTTATCAAGGAAACAACTGCTGTCATGGAACTGTCCCAGTAGTAGGTGGCTGAAAAGAAAACGCAGCCATGTGCTGTGAGAAAGAAGAGTAACCACTGGTTTGTGTATTTTTACTCCTGTCAGAAGAGGAACTGAGTCCCCCAATAGCCTCCCTGTGCTGCAGATGGTAAAGTTAGATAGTCCATGCCCCAGGAAGTCTTGCTGCCAAAGCAACAGAGAGGATGTGGCCATAAAAGGTGGGTAAACATGAGGTGAGCATGAGAAACAACAAAAAAGGGCATGGCTGAGCAAATATCTACATGCCCCACTATTCCTTTCATCAGCTAAAGAAGACAGGCCTATTAACCAGTGTGTTGGGGGGAATATAATCAATGGAAAATTTTGCTCTACACTATTCATATGGGAAGTTGAAGGGAAACATTCCTCTTCTTCACTCAAATATTCTGCTGATTAAAGAAAAAAGTAGACAGGAATATGATCTTGTGCCCCTSGAACCAAACTTCTGTCACTATGATATCCAAAAATCATCCTATTCTTTCCAAACTTAATCCTCATCTGTCCATAAATATTTTGGTCAGACCAGTACTGAAACTGAGCTAACAAAACTGAGATGATGCTCCCTTTTTATTTGGTCTGCTCTTCCCTAGAGACAGTAGGGCGTCTTTTGGAATYAAAGAAGCTCAGGTCTGGTTTTGCTCCAACAACTTAAGAAAGGTTTTGGAAAAGTAATAGCGGAAATAACCTTTACATCATCATAACTGTTGGCAAAAACAGACACCAGTGGCATATTCAGAATATTTTTTCTGATGTTACATCAAGCAGAAGACTGATAAGCAGGAAAAAGAGAGAGGAGAAACGAAAACACAATCTTGCATTTTAAAGGGCCAAAAGATGCATTCTTATCTCTTAAGGAAAAGTGATGGTGTTGAACAAGCATTAAAACATGACAGCCAACATGCTGTCCAATGGACATGGTTAGCCTTAATCCATGCTTGGCTGCTACAGAGCCCAAATCAAACCTGACACTGTAGATAAWTAGAAGAYTCACTCCCCTTTCATTTAACCATGSTTAAATGTTGAATTACTCTGCAACAAACATACGAATCTAAGCGCACGTCGCTATAGCCTTTCATTCTGAACGTGGCAGCACGAGGCTGCAAGGGCAGGCACTGCCCCAGGACATGAGGGCACAAAGAGAAAGTGCTCTTTTGGGATTCTGCAGTCACTGACTGCATCGGTGTCACACGGGGTGAGCGAGGATCTGGGCTAATGTGATCCAACAGGCACGGGCAGAGCCAGGCACAGTGCACTGCCTCCTTCCCCAGTGGCACTGCTCACCCTGGGATGCCAGGCTCTCAGGCAAGGCACWGCTTTGCCCCTGCTCATGTCATGCATCATCCCAGTCACCTGTCACCCCATSTCCAGGGTGAAAGTTCAGCCCAGGGCAGGAAGCAGAGGTTACAAACACTCTGTTCTGCATCACAGGCTCACACACCACGCATGGGGAGCAGAAGGTAATGAAGCCAATACTTCCTGTGCTTGGGGATAGGCTCCAGAGTCCCTCTGGGTAAACATAAACTGYTTTTTCCTTGATGGTTTCACAAACTGGTGGGCAAACCCCAGCTGAGCCCTTCCATGACAAATGCAAACATTACAAGTCTCTTGCCCTAGGGGAATTCAAATCAYATTACACACGTAGTAACCCACCATCTGATACTGAGCTCAGAMAGCCAGAATGAGCCTGAAGAAGAGAAAATCACCTTGAAAGTAATTTCTCAGAGCAGCCTCCCCAAAATCTTATGCCAGCACATGAGACACTTTATTTGGAGCAAGGTGACACCTTGCAGGCTGGGAGCCTGGGTCTGTTTCACAGCATGCTRCCTGTAAGACATCAGTAATTATTGCCGGGCCTGCAACATATTAGCTCTGGCCAATAATAAACATGTTTGATAGCCTTGTCTGCAGGAGAAATGACACTCAATGGGACACAGGGTGTCTCTGCAACTCCTAACAGCTGTATGGAAGATACTACACTCTCTTTGCCAACACCCACAAATCAGTTCCCCTTTCGACATTGCAACAGCAGCCTATTTGTGATGTTCTATAATTTTTACTCCCTCAGAACACTTGTTACTGCTTCAAACAAAATTTCAGCAACAAGAAAAAATTCTCAACCCAATAAAGTTGTTTTTTTTTTTTTTGAAAGAGCCTTGGGTAGTGGGAAAAAAATAATTTGCTCCAAACACTTAATGAAGAGTAAGGTTTAAGGGACATACTCAGCCAGCCTGACTGCTATTTAATTCCAAGTSTACAGAAAAATATTTGGAAATAATAGGCAGACTGACTAAAATTTAGATCAAGTGAGACCAGGTCTAGGAAAGCACAGCCTAAAAAAACAAAGTGTCAAGGGTGAGATCAGCTGAGCTCATCTGTCCTCTCCATCACAGCTTTCTGTTGTGGCTGTGGATAAATCATCTGGCTTGTGTGTGTCTCAGTTCCAGGCAAAGAAAAGTACTTGTTTCCCAAGACTGTTGGAAAAGATTAAAGGCTATGAAGTGGTCAAATATTACTGACAACAATTTGCTTAAAAACCTAAGAGGTGACCTTACCTTTTCCAATGTGGCATTTCCAGAGGTAGTGTTTCTGAGCACCATCTTATAGTCTGTCGCATACTGCAGGTAAGAAMAAAAAACACAACCAAACAAAAATSGTGAGGCAGGCATTAAAAYTGTCAGCAAAATATCTAAAATCTAGGGCAACAGTTTACTTTGATAAATAAACTAGACACCTCAAAAAAGCAGGGCACTTCTTTGGGCTTGCTTTCTTTAATTATAAAATGAGGGTAGGAAAAGCTTGTGTCCTTGTCAATTCTCTGTGACAACAGTAGCACAGAGGAAAAGACGACTGCTTTATTTCATCCCTGAACACACAGAACCCTGACACCCGAGGCATCACAGAATATCCTTTTCATAGTGTTATTTTTGTACTGTTTCTGGTTTTACTCATGGAATATTGACTTGTACTGTATTATACAGTCACACAAAACAGAACTTGTTTTTAAGACAGTGTCCTTGGTTTTGATACAAAAGCAAACCCACAGAACACCATGAAGGCAGAAGCTGTTATTCTGCTCSTGTATCAAAAAGAATCACTCTGCCMCATAACAGTATTCTCAACACTCTCTATCCTGATGTCTAAAACTAGCAATGAGAACTAAATCAAAATCTTTTTGGAGCCCTACAGSTCCTGTCCACCAGTTTAAGCCACGCTATGTTCTGGTGCCAGTTACMATCCCACCACACTGAGTCTCAACAGAGAGAGAGAAGAGAAGCCAGGCTGAGCCAGTAACCCAGCAAAGGAGACAATGGAAAATACTGAATAAAAGAATCTGGCAACTGGTAATGCTTACACACATAGGAGCCTAAAAGTCTTCAGCCTTGTCTCTTCTGAGCCCTAACTATGCTCCTAAGAGCTCTAAACTTTGTAGCCAAGGGATTCCTAGCTAGCTCCTGCAAAATGGTAAGCAGTTACACAAAGCAGGACTGCCACAGCTGCCCAGCAGAGCACCCAAAGTTTAAAGAATATTTTTGGTGAAGGTACAACAGATRGGCTTTGAATATGCTTTAGTTTGAGGAGTATTTTTCAAATCACTTGCCATGAAAGTTGTGTGTCCGACCATAYCACGTGCTTTTAAAAACCCCACCTTCTGCAGGTAAATTAACTTCTGGTATTTTCTACACCATCTTTCTATTCCTCTTCCAATAAAAGAGCCCGTGCACCGCAGCTCATGTCCAAAGTCCACACAGATCTTACCGTTCGGAAAGCTGCAGCAACAAGGTTTGCAGGAAACAGGTTTCTGTAAAAGACAAACAAGAAAAGGAAATAYGTCACGGGGAACTTCTCAAATGAATGCACCAATGTAGCTTACTCTCAGAAACAGAATTCCTTCTGCAAAGACAAACACATTGGCTGGTGAGGTGTTTAGTACAGAAGATACTCTGGCAGCATGAAGSTTGCTATGTGTCCAGAGCACATCCTGTGTGAATGTCCTCTTCCTTGGCTCACATGAAAGAGATGACAGATGTTGCCTGCCACACCTCACCTTTTGGGCAGGGCCATTRGAGGCAATCAGACACAACGCTGGTTACACCCACTGCCCAGTGGCTACAGAAACTGGCTCAGCCACACCAGCTGCAGCACCAGCTTATGGCCYCTGGTGTCAGGCAGATTTTCAACATTGCTCATGTGATTACACATCGCTCACAGCATCAGCATGAAGGACAATCCAATCAGTGAAATCCACTTACGAGAATGGCTTAACCCTTTAACACAGCGAGGCCAGCTTCCCTGATCAGTGGGGTAGAGCAGAATAATACCATGGRCCAAACTTCTCTGCAAGGGCTTAGACAACACAGATGGAAAGTACAGGCAACTCCTATGGAACACCTGAATTCAGCAGTGCCTTCACACAGAAATGTCAATCTAGCATCAGGTTAGGGCAGAGAGGACAGCATGTAAAGTGATGTACACTCTTTCTGAGCACCCAGTGTGYATCTGCATACAGAATGCAGGCAAATGACAACTTCTGGTTTTCTGTGTCAGAAAGGAAAATAGGAATAAAAACTGATCTCTGGGGTCATGACAGGACCCCAGTTGGTGAGGGCAGGAAAGTTATGGTATGAGCTGAAAACACTGCTAGTAAATAATAAAAGGCATCACGGAGGGACAAGAAACTTTATGGTAAGGAAACAGAAAACCTTACCCAGAGCCAGTTAATTGTGGTAAAAACATTTAGGTAGCTGTGCTTCTTGTGCTGCTCTGAGGAAGCTGCAGCTCCCTCCAGGCTGTGCCCTGCTAACCTCCCCCCATTTTTGCCATAGTTGCCCTGGCTAACACTAAACCAGGATTTCAGCTGTGGTCATTCCAAGAACGACACAGAATGTGCAAATCCAAACCAGAGCAAGAAATGGAGCAGCAAAGTCAAATCTTTGAAAGCAAGGAGATTAAAACATGGCCAAGATAAGGATTTTGGTTGCATGGCTCCATTCTCCTGCCACACAGGGAGTTTTCCCACAGCCTTGACAGCAACTGTAAAGGGCATGGAATTTCATCAAACACGTGGYTGCTGTGAAATACCTCAGCCTCTCTTTCTCTGTTGAACTACAAGCATATTAGGAGGATTGCTGTRAGAATAATTTGACTTCTGGAGGCTGCATTCCACCAAGCATGAAAGAAACAGCAACTTTTTCTGCTCAAAAGTTGACAATACAACTGTCTGCCTGCAAGTAAAAGAGCAAGCTCTAACTCTGCAAAGACACTTAAGAATTGGTCGAATAAGATCAATGGAACTGCTAACATGCATCAGTTCTTGCACAGCTGGAACTCTCTGGTGGATAAAACCTTAAGTAAAGTAAAAGCAAACTTGCTTTTATCAGGAGTAAAATATCACATATACAATTGGGCCCATGCTGTTGGGAAAATAAGGATATTTCTTTTCAGCTTTTCATAGCAGGATGATTACTTTTGTTGAAAAAAGGACTGGACTTTGAAGAAACAGAGATGAAAAAAGACTGAAAACCAACCAGAAATCAATTCTTCTTTTTTTCTTTAAATCATGTTTTCCATCCTGATGAAAACAAAACCAAAGGAAGCAATCCTAAAGCCTAAACAGCATGGTTCTSCGATGTTTAAATGCGGCCAGGAAACCAAACCCTCCATAATTTGCACAGTATGTCAGGCATGGGCCTCAGTAACTAAACATTAACTTATCTCCAAGCATATACTTAAAGCACATAGTTAAGTGATGCCAGCAACCCTGTTACAGCAAGGCAAAGGGCAGGTTCTTACTTCAAGTGTGAATAGTGTGAATATAACTACTTAAGAGCTAAAAGTAGTCATTTTTCTTAATTCCTCCAGCACCAATTGCAGGACTTGACTCTGAGGATAAAGAGCATTTCTGACAATCACCAAGTAAAAAATTTGGATCTTAATCAAGCAGGTCAGAAGAAGTTTTATGTTCTGTTCAGTCCAACTTCYAAACACACCTAAATGCAAAACATAAAAAATCACATAACAATTTGCTCCTTTTGGTTTCAAATCTGTAMGTTTAAGAACAAAATGTATTGGGTCATAAAAGCTACAACGAATAAATGGCTTATCTTAGAGGCACGAGGTCTGCACAGACTACACTCATTGCTCACCTAGGATCAGTCAGMATGTGAATTAAATTCAGCTTTAATTACAGRTGGGTCAGACCRCAAGTCCTTACCTYTGGATRGATTTGTGCAAGAACACCACAGCASTGSCTAAAAAATGGGGCAAGATGCTGCTTGCTGTGGGAGAGTCAAAAACTGGCCTGGGCCATGGACTTGTGCCTGCAAGGTTTGCTTCTCATGCCTGGTGAGGTGAAGTTCACCTACCACAGAAACTGAGATGAAGCTGTGTCCCTGTGAGCAGAGGAGCTGCATGGGGAAGCGTGGACATCCCTCCTGTGASGGTGAACCAACAAATAGGAAAGCTGATGAGCTGGGTAATTGGGCATGCAAATGAAATCTGGGTATCTGCCAGTTGGCTTTTCTGTAAGGACCAAATGTTTAAAAGTTTTTTTTTTGCTTTGAAAGCCTGTAGCAAATGTGGAGTTTAGAGAAATCACCCCGGTTGTTTGGCTGGATTGTTGACTGTTTCTGAYGGCCCCATCCCCAAGCCCAGTGCCAGAAAACAAGAGTTGCCTTTTTGAAGCAGATGTGGGTTATCACAAGAACAGGATGCTGGCCAGACCCTGGGTCTGGGTGATAAGGAGCCCAGCACAGCAGTGTGGGATCAGACAGTCTTGGTCCCATACTGCAGGGTGACAAAACTTGTTGCACGTGGCACGAACGAGACAGGCCAGTGACATACCACAGCAGGGGGACACAAACCATAGACCCCACATCCTTTGTGCCATAAAAGTGAAGCAGGTGGCACAGAGAAACTTYGCTCCCCTCACCAAGCACCAGGCAGGAAACCCTCTCTGCCTGCTGCAAGTTGCTCAGACTTGTGCCCCGTATCAGAAATCCACTGAACAGCTGCTGAGGGGGACAGATGTGTCCCAGGGCTGAAGCACCAGCTGGGCTGAGCCAGAAAACCTCCACATACCTACACAACACAGAGGGTGAGAAAGCACCCCTTTCAGATCCTCTTAAAACAGGAACAAGAAAGCAGAGGCACCAAGGACGGGTGTTTCAGTGTGTATTTCCTTGAATACTGTGCTCATCACAACATCTCCCTRTGCACAGCTGGATAAATGCACCTTTCTTCCCATGAAAAGCTGTTTCTGCTGGTCAAAAATGGACCCAGGAAGATCCCACTGTATTTCTGCTGCAATAGAAATCTTAATTTAGCTACAACATCCACTGTTGGGAATCCCACACAACTAAGGGAATCTGGAGCTACAACTAAGGGAACCTGGAGAAAAAAAGGGGGCTGTGGCTCTCCTCCTTCTCCATTTTGATATTATGGTCAAATTGCTCTCTTCTTTACACGCCTGTATCTTTCCACCAGCAGCATGAGGATTACACAGGAACTCCTCCATTGTATGTGTAAGGGATTATTATTAACAACTGTTTCTAAATGACTCGTTTGCTAGAGCTCTGCAAACAACTTTGCTCTGGCAGCAAAAGCGTGAAGGGAAATCCAGGCAAATGGAATGAAATACTAAAATAAAATACTATGCATTCCTCTTGCATTGCTTCTTACAAAAAGGTTCCACTTCTGAGGCCAGAAACCTTGCTGTTGAAAAACATACTTTTGTGAGGAAGTATAGAAAAAAACACCATGTGTTGGTTATCTCCAGTTCTCAGGTTTTTTTCCAATGAAGTGTTTTCAACAGTATAAGTCCACTTACAGCAAGTTTACTGTCATCTGTTGGTAAATGCCAGAGCCCAGTTTGAATTCTTCCAGTACCTTCATTTTTCCTTCCGTCCCAAGATTTTCATTCAATATCACACAGCAGTTTTCCTCATCTGCTTTTTGATATGYGGATGCACAACACATGCCCTGGACATACTCATATTTGTGAGTGTGTACATTTGTTTTAACACTGAAAAACTTGAAAACGCATTTTCTTATAGTAGATATTTGATAGTTTTTTGCCTTAATGATCCATTTTGTATCTCTGATGCTTGGAAAATAAAACATTAACTGAAGGAAGCCAATAGTAAAACACAAMAAATAAAAGGAACAAATGAAAGGAGCAGAAATGTTCAGAGGTTTACTAAAAGAAACCCAACCAGACAGCACGAACACATGAATGAAAATACTGAGTTCTTCCTACAAAACTCAGCCAGCAATCCCTGTAGTACAAGAGATTCCAGACTCAGTGACACAAGAAAATGGGGACAGTTACTTTTATTTTAAGAACTAGCCATCAGCTTCAAACTTAGTGGTCAGTCTGTTTCTTGGTGTAAYTACAGCCATTCCCTGGCCACTTTTTATTTTATTTATGAATTCAATAGTAGCATCTCTTCCTCCTTTTCTAACATCATGTTTTACTGTCTTCCCACACTGAGATTTCAGAGATGGCCTTTGTGGTTGCYGGTTTTGGGTGACTCACTGGCAAGACCAAGGCTATAAGGAACAAGTGCTACTGGAGCAACTGGTGCCCAAGAGAGGGTCACTACCCAAGTGGCCCTCTCTGACCATCTGCTCTGCAGCCCAGCCAGCAAAACACAACTGATACTTCTCCCTGTGCTCATGTCTGCCTTCCCTATGGCTCCAAAGGCTTGCTGTGGGTACTCTCTTTGGCAACTCGGCTGGTAACATCTGGCAGAGAGACAGAGAGGGCAGTGAGAAGCAATAAAATTTAAACAGCTTTTGCAGACTTGCCTGGCAACCTGGGAAACCCTGACCTTGCTGCCTAGGGCAGTCGTGTGGACATCTGCACACCCTTCCTATAAAAAAAAAGGAATGATGCTATTACCTCCTTCCCTTCCCAGACTGTTACAGCTATGGTTGGATTAAAAACAGAATTCCCTTCCCCAAAGCCAATTCCACAGTTGCAAAACATGTTTTCATCCCAAAATTGGGCAAAGAAAGGCTGTTTCAGATATTTTTTTTTCCATTAAAAAATATTGTAAACTACTCTGTTGAAATAGTCCTTTTTTTGATGAGTGAGATTTTCTGCTTAAGTCTTTTGTATAAAATGACAGCAAAACATTGACCTCACTGAAATGAAATGCCATCATCACCCACTGATAGAAATTTTGACAGGATCAATAGGTTCCCGTGAAATTGTTCAATTTTGTTGTATCAGCAAATATAAATCAGAGCTAGAACAAAACTGTGACCTTATTGAAACATTCAGTCATGACAATTGTCCATCAAAAGTGTTAACAAATCAATAGATTCTTGCCAAACACTCCATCCTGCTGTTTCAACTGCTTTCCAACAAGCTGCAGGCAGGATGGGTTAGCAGGTGCTTGGAGTCCTATCCTTGTCACCACCTCTCTCCTCTCCCTGGTTATGTGCTGGGAACAATCAGAGCCAAGCTGGCTCTCTACAGTGTCACCTTCTCAGGTGAGGGCTGAGCCCCAGAGCCACCATATCACAGCCCCTTCCTCATCAAGCTCACAAGCTCTTGATTCTCCGCTGCTTTATCCTCTCCACCAAATAAATGAGAAAGGGAAAAACCCAGGAATTCTAAATTTCCCTTCATTCCACTCATCTGCTGACACAGTTTAGGAATTCCAAGATCCTGCCTGGAGTTCAGAGAACAYCCCACTTTTTGGGTGCATTTTTTAAAGCCATCAGCCTTGTGGAAGTAGCTGTGTGCTTTTGCTGGATCCTCTCCCGTGATCACTGCTTTTCCTCTTTAGGAAGCCCCGGGAGYTGCCCACATGACAGACCTGAGATGAGCCATCAGCAACCCTGCTGGGGGACACAAAGGCACCTTAGGGCAGCTCTGCTGTCCCCACCCCATGTCCTGGGGCAGAGGACAGCGTGTCTAAGCCCTGCCTAGGCACAGTCAAGGCTTGCTTGCCTCCAGTAATTGCCAGAAGGGAAACCAAGAGGTTTCCTCCAGCCAGACAAATCAGACCTGGAGGTTATGGTCCACGGACAAAATTTGAGACAGTCTTTGGGTTCATCAGTGAGTCATCATTTATTTGATACCAAAGCCCAAAATTAATCTTTCTTCCAGAGGTCATGGAACATGCCTAGACGCCTGTTTGTGGGGAAGCTTTARACTTGGAAAAGGAAAACCAAGAATTAAGCTGGCTTCCAGACATCACTGCAACCATGAAAAGCAACGTCTCTGGSCATTACCTAACAGGCAGAAGGGATCTGCAGAAGCAAATAGTGACACACAGCTGTGATTTCTTCTGTGCTGTTTCTTCCTTGGGCCATGTTTTACATAGGTTTCAGTGCTGTATGGGGACTCAGTTTACCCTTCTGCACCTCATTTTTACTCTTCCTCTGAAACCAAGCAGCAGCAAAACCTTGAAGGACRCCATCAGTCTTGTGGCACAACTGAACTTGAGGTTTTCTTGCATCTTGCATCAGAAAGTTTCATGGCCAAACAAGATAAAAGGAGAAACAAAGACCAGGATGCTGCAAGACCCACCCACACCAAAAGCAACTGATTCAACACTCTAGGCCCTATAGAATCAAGGTTTTGTTATATGAAGATGAGGTTACTCTAGTAACTTCATCACAGCAGAGACCAAGTTAAATGCTCAAACGGAAACACCCACGTTTTCAATAACAWTTTAAACAATAACATTACATGGCAGAGAGAGAGAGATCTTATTTCCAGAAAACCACATACTCTCTCCATCCCTGGGTCTGTCAGGGATTTGTGCTAAGTCTGAAAGTTTTAGTGAAGGCCGCATCCAAACACAACTTTACTGGACTGGATTTCACTGTCACTTCTATGACAACTGGACGTGGCTGCAACAGCCCTTTCCCTGGATTTCCAAAAAAAAAGGTGTATTCACAGCCCGCCATCCATGCATTGGGAGAAAACTCCTGTCCCCTCATCTCCCAAAGGAAATTCCTCTGCAACCCACCATGCTTTACTCAAATCTCACCATTATGAGCACTACTTGGGAATWAGGGACACCATCCCACCACCACCATAACCCCTCTGAAGATGAACTCTCCACCAGCATTTACAGATCAGACCAACACACAGCTGTCTGCTCTGAACTTCAGATATTCCCCACAACCTAAAGCTCACTGGAACATCCCTGGCCTGTTTCTCAGCTCCATCCTACTCCACGCTGCCAGGTGACACAGGGATGGAACACCAGCAACAGCAGCCATGCCAGGATGCACTGRGGCACYCACCACAAGCATCTTCCCAACTCTYCCACRWGTAYCTACTCCTTTTTTTTGGCAATTTTCCTTCACCTACCTACCCTTCCATTCCACATGTCACCTTCACAGCCAAACTACCTACTCCCATYCTATTCCTTCTTAACACAATGTCAGGAATGCTGGTCCTTAAGTCAGGTCCTTAATTGTTGGTTCTTAAGAGAGGGAGAGGTGAGCTGAGGACACGCAGTACAAGGCTGCCAATGGAACAAACCAGACTTACTTTCTGTCCAAAGGGAACATACTTGTCTCAGGGGGAGAAAAGGACCTTAACCTGAATTTGTAAATACAGTTCTGGATTTGGAGCTGTTTTTTTTTTTTAGAAAGTGTTCTTATCTGTATTGCCACATCCACTTATCCAGACAGAACAAAAAACTATCTCGGCTGAAAAACYGGACTCATAAAGCAAAGCAAACAATCAAAATTAAAAACCCCACTCAGCTTTCTAATTACCAATATATCCACTAAGCTCAACTTTCAAGCCACTTCACTGCAACACAGGTCATCTCCCTTACTCTTGTTTGTGCCTGGGTGCAAAGCACAAGGAAATGCACTTGGAAATCCAATTCTCGAAACACCAGCTGAATGCCTGCCTCGTCTGTGTGTTCCTATCTCATTTTAAAAGCCAGAGAGATCGTAAGAGGACATTGGATTTGAGAAARAAAATAAAGGTGAAGTTTGCAACTTTGTGAGCAGGAGTAAGGATACACAAAAACATCACGATCTGGCTAGAAGTGGAAGCCTTGCTTCCAGACAGATTTGGGGAATGCAAAACTGGTCTTGGAAGGTGTAGAGGCAAGATGGGTAGCTCATGAACCTACRGAGCATCCTCACCTCGGACCATGTTTAGGGCATGTCCTCCATGGAATTACAGGATTGCACTTCCATGCCTACATCTACGGGAGGACACTCTAAGAGGCAGGTAGACATGTGGGTGAGCAGACTAGGTAATGTGCTGGAGAATTAAAGAAAAAGGTGCGTGTGAGGGATGGGGAGCGCTGCCCAGCCCTGTCCTGCCTGCAGGAGACAGGCAACAACAGGTAGCAGGGCAGGGGAAGGTGCCAGGCAAAGCCTGCCCTGCAGCCAGCACCCAGGAGCTGCTCTCCCTCCAGGCAGAACCAAAAACGGGCCCAGGCACCCAGAACTCTGAGCAAGCCTCAACTCATCCTTGCAGCCACCCAAGAAAAATTCGAAACAAAGTGGGGAGAAGCAGAGCACCATGCAGCCCTACGCCTGACCGGGCTGTTGGTACTTGGCCAGAGAACCATGTGCCTGGAGAAGCTGGGATTAGGATGAGAATGGTAAGAAGAAGGATAAGGAGATAAAGGAGGAGGATGAGGAAAAGGAAAAAAAAGAAGAATGAGGAGAAGAAGCAGGAGGATAAGACGAAGGAGGTTGACAAGCAGGAGAAGGAGAAGAAGGGGGGCTCCCCGGCCCGGCTGCAGCGTGCAACACTGCCGGGTCTGTCATCATCCACCGGCGGCGGGAGGGCGGGGGAAGGGGGGGAGCGGGGCGGCCTCACCTGACGAGGTCCAGGAAAGAGTCCACCGTCTCCTTGCTGGTGGGCAGCGCACCCGGCAGCCCCAGCCCGGGGGCGTTGAGCGCGGAGGCACCGGCGCCGGGGCGGATGATGAAGCCGAGAGCTACGGCGAGGCCCGATGCGAGCAGCGTGGTGCCCAGGAAATAGGCGATGGCGATGCCGCCCAGGCGGCCGAGCGAGCGGGTGTCCAGGCTGGCGGCGCCCGACACCAGGCTGCAGACCACGAGCGGCAGGATCACCATGCGCAGCATCCGCAGCAGCAGCTCCCCGGGAAAGGCCAGGTAGGCGACCTGCGCCGGGCCCAGCGCCGCTCCGCGCACCGCGGCCCCCAGCGCCACGCCGGCCACCACCCCCGACACCGTCAGCAGCACCAGCGCGTTGCGCCGCAGGAACCCGCGGCAGCCCCGCAGCCGGCCCCCGCCGCCCCGCCGCTCCTCGGCCGCCGGGCCCTCGGCGTGGCCGTTCCGGCCGTGGCCCGCCTTGCCCTCACCCGCCGCCGCCGCCTCCATGCTGCGCTGATCGGCGGCTCCTCGTGTCCCGCTACCGCGCGGCGCTCTCGGCACCAACTGAGCGGCRGCCCCGCCCAGCCCGGGCCCGGGAGCGGCGCCGGCCCCGCCCGGGGGAGGGAGCGCCGTGTCCCCGGACCGCCCCCTGCCCGCCAGCCGGGCCCGGGTCGGTTCCGCGGCGGCTCCGCGCCATCGCCGCTGGCGGGGCCCGCACGTTCCCCCCCGTGACCGGCCCGCGGCCTCCGGCCCGCCCGAGGCCCCTCCGTGCCCTCACGGGTCCCCTCAGCGCGCCCGCGGTGTCACAGAGCTCCGGCGTGTGTCCCCACGGTTTGCAAACACCCCGTCTGTGTCCCAGAGCTCCGGCGTGTGTCCCCACGGTTCACACACACACCGTCTGTGTCCCAGAGCTCCGGCGTGTGTCCCCACGGTTCACACACACCGTCTGTGTCCCAGAGCTCCGGCGTGTGTCCCCACGGTTCACACACACACCGTCTGTGTCCCAGAGCTCCGGCGTGTGTCCCCACGGTTTGCACACACACCGTCTGTGTCACAGAGCTCCGGAGTGTGTCCCCACGGTTCACACACACCATCTGTGTCACAGAGCTCACGCATGTGTCCTCAGCGGGCACCTTCGTGCTCCTGTGGGTCACATGCGTGCCTTCATGTCCCCGTTCAGTATGCCCATTGTTCATACATGGGCTCACACGTGTTCTCTCAGTGTGAGAGAACGTGGTTCAATCACGTCCCCTCAGTGTCCCCTTCAGTGCTCACAAGTACCCCCTGTGTTTGCCTCCATGTCCCCGTGGCTCACAGGTGTCCCCTCGTTGTCCCCCCTCAGTATCATCATGGTTCATACGCACTCATAATCCACACCTGCTCCCTCAGTGTCCCAACAGTTCCCACGTGGCTTTTTCAGCATCCKCGTTGTTCATCACATCCCCTCAGTGTCCCCATGGCTCGCACATGTCCCCCTCAGTGTCCCTGTGGTTTGCACACATCGCCATCAGTGTCCCCACAGCTCTTGTGTCCATACAGAGACGGCCTCAGCATCTTCACAACTCACACACTGTCCCCATCAGTGGGGTTCACGTGTGCTTTTGGTGTCCTCTTCTGTCCAGGAGCCTCTCATGGGGGCAGGAGCCATCGTCTGCACCAGGACAGGTTGTGTCTGTGTCCTCTGTCCCCACGGACATTCAGTGGATCTGTGGGTTCATCAGGGGCAGGGTGACATGGACACAGSACTCTGARCACCCTTCCTTGCACAAACCCCATKTCTGACCACACGAGCTGATTGTCTGAGGAGCAGACGATGTCTGGGATGATACAAGGGGCTGGTAAAGGGCACTTGGGGCTTTCAAACCCTGAAGAGCCTCGTGGGTGCACTGCTGTCGTGTTTGCTCACAAGGGCACTTCCAGGARCTCCAGCGGGGTTTGGACTCCGTCAGGGGCTCCATTTCAGTTCATTCCCTTGGCATCAGCAAAGCACAGCCTGGCAGAAAACACCCTGTGAAAACAGCCAGCCACACATCTGCTTTTCAAGTAGGCTGYGCTAATTAATGAGACTGACAGAGTGTGATGGGACAATAATCCCAATTTAATAAGACTTTTCTGCTTTCCAGTATCTTGGATAGACCTGCAGATTGCTGCACCATGGCTGGAGCTCCTGGGRATTGTCTGTGTGTGAATAGATAATGACACCAATCTCAAGCAGTTGTGTTCACCACCATCCACTTCAGGGCTTGATGAAAATTCTTGATTTGCTCTCGTKCTGAAATTAGACTCATGATACCAGGCACATTCTTATTGATTTTGCTTTTTTTTCCCTGATAACTTTCCCTTTGCGTAACATTTGGTTTGTGGAAGTCTGTGAATCAATGTCCCATCAAATCAGCAGAGACAGGAAACARAGACTAAAGTAAACAGGAAAACAAGTGTCTGCAAACACTTTCAAAGTAATTCAATTTCACAAACCTCAAAATGAACACAAAAATTGTGTAGATCTTTTAAAATCAAGTTTGACTTTTTTCTGCAAATAGGTTTGTGAATAATAARCAAGGTACTGTCCAATGTAGTTGTTTCTTTCCCCATCAGAAGCATTTCAAAAATGGATTTTTAATTAATACTTTCAGAGCATGCCTTGTGAAAATGTCRTGCTTAATTTATTCCTTGTGTTTTYCCCTGCCATTTCCTCCTGGTCTCACTCTTTTTTCTTTCCATTTACCTGTGAAAAGAAGAAAAGAGGAGAAGAAATTACAACCGAAAATGGTACAATAAATATAAAAACATGGAAACCTGTTCTTTATTTCAGTTGAGAAAAGATTCTAAAACCAAACAACAAATATAAATGCTGTTTCCATGTGCAAACTGAAAGCAAGGGGAGAAATTCAGGGAAGTGTGAACAAGAAYAAYGTATCAAATCAGAAAACTCATTGGWAGYAGAACATRTATGAGACCRGTGCAAGAGGTAAMWCAGAGCYTTTTCCACCCTATGACAGGAGACTYCTRCTCTCCTGGAGGRTCCCCCATGTCCTTGTGGGAYTSACTTTTCCCARAGCAGTGCCACAAGAACAGCCAGGTGACCTGCAGGAACACACACCTCCAAGACTGTAGATCCCAGGGAAAGTTCTTTAACACTTGCTGAGGCTGTGTGGTAATAGCCAACCCTTCAAAAGAAACACTTGGATGTAGGGATACTGGTGTCAAGCTTCCTGGTCAATGACACCATGAGAATTCGGATTCCCGATTCCCCCTTCCCTTTTCCCCTTTTCTGATTCAAACACTGATCCAAACAGCTATCCTTCCCTTCTTGACGTATCTCCAGATGACAATGCTTTTGTCAACAAGAAGACAACAGAGCACATGAACCTCCCACGGTACCAATGGACACCATCCCAAAGACGTTCTAGGCAAAGCTAACTGTTTTTCCACACCCTGTGAGAGTTCATGGATGGCTGCAGTGATTAACTCCGAAGCCCGCTGGCTTATTCAGTAGTAATCGTTGACTGATCCATTGTGTCATGTTTTCATTTCAGCGTTTGTAGATCTTGGGAGCTTTCCAGTGAGTGAGTCTGCATGTTTCCAATGTCCACCCTCTTGGTGCTTCTAAATTAGGGATTTTGACTTTGCCTATTGGAACTTGAAGATTCTGTTTTTCGGCTTAAGTGGCTTTCACCTGCACAGGGCTGGGGTGCTTTGTCCAGAAATCAGAAGAGGACCATAAACAGGCAACAACAACAACAGCACAACCAGAAAAAAAATTTCAGTTACTTTCAAGTATTTTTTTTTTTAATCCTTTTGATTTCAGGGAAGAAACAGCCAATATAGTTTTCACCACTGGCCCAGGAAGGAAGATGTCATGCTGCTTTCCAGTCAAAACCAACTTGATACCTATTTTTGATGGTAGGTATTTGAAATTCCAGCTTCAATGGAAGGAACAAAAAGATCTTAATGGCTGTAAGGGAACCAGRTCCTTCCCCTCCGTGTTTCATCACCAACCAAGCAGACTACAGGACTTCTTTTGAGCCATTTCMCTCACAAATGTTCCTGCTTTGTTAAGGGAAGTTGATAGAGAGACATCTCAGASRAAAAGCTTACAGTTCCTTTTTCMTACTGCTCATCCACTCCCACTGTTAAATTTTAGCACAATGTTGCTGCACATCATTGGGATGGACAGTTGTAATAGGATCTAGGTAATCTAGCTGTTGCCTCCTGGAAATGCAGTGTCTAATTTTAGTGCCCCTAGAAAACAGAGGTGAGTGTTGTGCACACCTGCTGAAGGTCTACACAAAGACTGGAAGAAATCAGATTTTAAKTTCTTTTCTAGGGAGAAGAGGAAGGCCTTCAAGGAGCTGTTTGCAGCTCCCTGAGTYTCACACCTGAAACACACAGGTCTCAGCACTTGGCACAAGTTAGAGRAGCCCTCAGGCCACATTTCCTACAAACCAGTGTAGCAGCAGGGCTGTGGAGCACACTCGTTGTGCAACCTCTGCTTCTCTCTGTCTTCCTGCTGCTATTTCCCTCTTCTTAAGACTGGCAAGGTGATCTGCAGGTTTTTCTTTGGGTCTGGCTCCTGTGTGCTCTCTGTTCTTGGGAGACCCAATAGAAACTTTTGAAGGCTTAGAGGGAAGTCATCCACCATTCATCTGCTGAGACTGCTTTGATTTGAAGTAGTTTGAAGACTGATGCCTCAAAGGCATGGTGAGGGAGGAGGGAACAAGATGAAAGGGAAGAGGGCAGGAAGAGATTGCATTTTATTTTCGTGTTTTTCAAGAGAATCCTGAATGAAGGTGCTTCCAAACATCCCAAGGGAGATGTGCTGGGGAGCCTGCAGTGTCCTAAGGGTCTGTATTACAGTGTGGCCTTTTTGTGAAGAGGATTCATGAAGAGCACATGGCAGAAATCTTGTTTTCTACTGAGAAAAATGAAGTCCTCAGAAGAGCCACAGCACATGAGCTGAGGCAGGAAGGCCTAGAGCACTTCCTTGGTATGCAGACTTTAGTTTGGCAAGATTTTGTTGGGCCTCGGATGCAAGCAATTTGGACAGGCTCCAGCCCCACTGCAGAAATGCTCTCTGCCTGCATGTGGGAGGAACATGAGATGTGTTCCTTGGCTCTTCCCAGTGCCCCTGTCCTGCTCACCTCATTGCAAGCTCGATGCAGGACCAGCCACCCATGCACAATTCTGGATTTACCAGAATGAGCCAGATTCCAAGACATCTGAAACCACAGAAAGAAACCCCTTGGCCTCCAGTGATGACAGGTCCTGCTTCATTTAGGTTCCTGCCTAGCAACTGAAATAGCACAGTCCTAAACACAATCCTACTACAGTGTCACACGTTGATTCAGCATTTCTCCAGGCTAGGTAAGTGCTTACACCTGATTGAAAATATTCTGAGTAGGAAAAAAAAAAGTCCTCTGTAAATGCATTTTCTAATAGCAGTGGCAGGCAAGGAATTTTGCAAATACCACTTGCTTGCCCAAACTCCAACAAAATATAAACTCTGCAGACAGGGATGGTTGACCTAGGGTAAATATTTAACTTTATCCTTCAAAGGCACATGCA